AGGCAACCTTAACAACATGTAAACAATATGTTCCTTGTTTAATTGAGCTCTTCGCCCTGAATGGTTGTCAATCTTGTAGGCCGCTAAAGGGTTAACATATAAATGCATCTATTAACTACATTAATATTAATAACTTCACTCATGGAGTTTTCGGTTATTTTTTTAATAATGGAGAGACATGCGTTGCTAATAAAATAAAAAAAAATTTGCTTAAAGAGCTACCCGACGCCACGTTCATTTTTGACAAGAGGAGGATTATTTTGCGTTGGCTGGGATACGCAGTATTACGATTGTGAGATGGATCTCGATGAGCGTTTGTGCACAATCGCACATACTATTACTTTGCACAAGCGGAGGAAGACTATAAACGTAATATTAAACTACGTATACTGTACTGTTCCGAATAATACATTACGACTAAGTATGGGGTTTCTGTTCTTATAGTTATTAGAAGGTTAAAATCGAAGACGAGTGACGAAAGTTGGTTTCAATGGTAAAGAATATCTACATGAGTGTAACATTAAGCTGCCAGACTAATTCACATTCACGTCACCAAACAGTTTCATGAAAACAACTGAAGTGCATTGTTTAAACCAAAAGCGTCTATCGTAAACAATATTGTCCATATACAATATACGGATTACAAATTGTAAATATAACACAATACAGTATTCAATATTTGTGTTGTAATTTGTCGGTATTGACTGTCTTTATTTTTAAATAGCAAACTGTTTTATTCAACACGTCAATAAAACTCAAGGTCTTAAAACAAAAAACAAAAAACATGATAACCAAGCTACCTTTACTAGTGTTATTGGGAATATTGGACAGCGTTTCCGATTTATCAACTGTATACTAGTAAACAAACAATGGTGTTTTTACGGTATTCCATATTTATGGGCTAATCCATTTGCAAAGTCGCAAGGATTAACCCCTCTTTCTACCTTACGAAAGTTGCTAACTTACGACGAACGTACAAAACTTGAGAGTAACGAAAAAAAAAACCTTTTGGAGGGCGTCTGGCTATGTAAATTACGTTTTGGGGTATTCGCGCAAATTACATATGTATAAAGAAACCAATAACGTTGTGTTTGACTACCCTAAGTTTATTACGACCATCAACTTTTGGAGTGTTGTAAGCGCGAATTTGGGAATAATGAATTTGAATCTGCGAAAATCATACTCGGGTTGCTTGCGCGACGTAATACGCGTTTAAAAATGTTAGAAGTTAAATGGTACGATGGGGCAGTCTTCTTTGAATATCCCACGTTAATTACGCATAATACCGACGTAGAGTTACTTGTGTAAAGTATTTTTACAGCAAACTCGTTTTGCTAACGTCAATAAAGTACAATACAACAATCGAGGATTATGCAACGCCGCCATGGTATCGACATAGAGTTACTTGTGTAAAGCAATTATATTTATATCACCAATGAATTTTAAATAATAAAGGTTTTACTTCTGTAATGTAAAAAACTGGATATTTATTGAATATATTAAAAAACTGTCTTGTCACAGTAAGTTTAACAAGTATTGGACGGAAATCGACATCCATCCAGCATTGACGCTTCAAAGTGAGCTTTGATATTGAATGTCAGTCATAGCGCTGGATGCGTCTACAAATTGATTCTGCCATCCTTCTCCTAAATACTGCGTACTCTCACCATTAAACAATTCATCAATAACTCTGTCTGTATAGTTCAAACTCTTAAGAGCTTTTACAGAATCTTCCTCAAGTTCTTTTTTCTTTGAATCTAACTTCTCCATGAATTCGGTGTTGGATTTATATTTGTCCGCAAGAAACGTGTATGCATTGCTTACATTTTTAGCTTTCTTACTACTAGCACGAGTTTCATATCCACTGATATTATCGTCACGTCTCTTGTTGCTACTGTCAATTACACGTAGGCTGCTATTGCTTCTGCTTTGATCATTGTTTCTGTTATTTTGTCTGCTGCTTTATCTAGGTTATTCGTGTTTTGCATGAATGCAGGAAGTATAGCCGCGGCCTCAACAATTAGTAGTGACTATTGCCAATAAAAAGTTGTTGGGACTCGGTTCTACTGGCAAACGAGAATTACAATTTTGTTC